GCAAAACCATGTCTTTGAAACAGAAGGGGTGGTTGGGCTATTGGGAGAGTCTTTATTCACCATTCCAGGTAGAGGGCAGCTGGTCCCATAAGCAGCTTGAGAAACATGTGCATTCATGACCAAAAGTCCTTGGAACAGAAGTGGCTCAAATAAATCGCAGCAGGGCAGTGTCTTATGCAGCAAGAGCAGGATTGTGCTTGTACACACCCGTGAATTATCCCATCCACAGCCAGCTGGGTGTTTAGGTATTCTCATTGTTTGGAAATTTGTTGTTGGGAATATATTAACAACCTCACAGCACATAGTCCTTTGCTGTGTCTAAGTGGATTGCCAGTCCCTTGAGGCAGAGGCTGTCTGGGTTTGCCTTCCACAGAGCCAAACACGTTGTCAGCACTCAATTAGACGTGTGTATACGGTTTCATGCTGACTCAGAGCTCAAAGATAGCCACTATTTTTTTCTTGTTGAGCATCCCTGCATAGAGAGAATGAGCTATTTTTACCTGAACCTGAACCTTTCTAGCATTATTCCTGATAGGAAAAAATAAACCCTGTGTGCTTGAAGTCAAAACCAAAAGAAGGGATATTTTCTTGGAGGTGCCTGTGATCCTCTCAACCTTCCAGTAACTGAGGAAATGCAGCCTCTGTGTGTGCCTCTCTTCCTTCTTGGTTATACTGGGTGGATGAGCGGATGACCTGCTGGCAGGAGAAGCCCCTCTCTGAGATACAAAGGGTTGATCAGTCCACGTAAGAGAAGAGCAAATGAGACAGAGGCAACAGCGTCTTTGGAATCCAGGGGTGGAAAGCTGATGGGTCAGAGCTGTTTCAGGGAACAGTTGTAGAGTCAAGCTGGTAAATTTTTGTTTGGAGGGAAGGAAGAGAAAAATAAGAGCAATGAAATCTAGTTCCAGTAGGCAGGAGCTTTTTGTGACTGTTAAACATAAAGTCTACAGTTTCTCCCTCTCCCCTCATCTCCTTTGCTTCCACTGCCTGGGGGTTTACTTTTCCACTGGGTACACAGACAGCTCTTGAGAGCGGAAAGTGTGGGCTAAATAGCAGCTCCCTGGCCATAATCCCTGAAAGATGGCTGAAGCTACAGTACATGAAGTAGGCAATAGAGGCTGGGGACGATGCTGTCCTTCTCTGGTGGGTGTTTGCGTGGGAGGTGTAAGATTTTAGTATTTTTTTTTATGCTGCACATTTTTGTAATTCCAGCCATGCACAGAAAAAGCTGGGCAGTGCTGGCTGCAAAGGTGCCTGTGCACCTGTACAGGGTGGGACAGGCATTCAGAGGCAGAAATAGACACCAAGCCATCCTGTTTGGGCAATTATACTCTTCCTGCATTCTCACCGCAGTCGGCATTTCAGCGGCTAAGCCACAAAGGGAGGTATAAAGACAAATGGGATCTCCTTTTGAAAATACCTGTACTTAAAAGAACCTCCCTCCTGGGATGGTATTCATTATGTGTCTGTTTATTCATCCTTTGCTCACACGGTAATTTGCTCCTGCAGAAATGTATCGCAGCTCCACCCAGTGCTGGGACTGAGCCACTTCTGCTGGCACTGTTGGAGATCATTTACCAAGAGAAATTAGCTGTATGGCATGCATAATGGTGTCTGACACAGCTATACCTGCCCACAGCTGCTCCGAAAGCGATCACTACCTTTGCAGTAGCTCATCCCAAATCCCAATGGATTTCTAACTCTGCCCTGGCTTGCACTGTATGTCTTCTCAAGAGTTGGTAATGTTCTGAGATGGCTTTAAGTGTAAACGGGAAGAGGAGCTGTTGATTGGGAAGAGGCAAATGAAATGCCAGCCTCTGTCACAGCTCTCTCCTAATATAAAAGATTTGTGGCCGTGGGTTGAGCCGAAGCTGCAGCTGCTGTGGTGTCACTTGGATATTAAATGGGGAGTGGGTGAGTGCGAGGAGCAGAAAGTGCTGTGGAAGAGGGGAGAGGAGCCAGATAGGAAGAGGCTTGGCACAAGTGCCAGGTTCCTTTACTGGAATGCATCCCTTATGCTGTGGCCATCTTTCTCTACAAATTAATCATTTTTTTGCAGCCCCTCTCTCCACCTGAACGTGCTGGCAGTTTTCTGTCTTCTGGATAAGATCTCTCCTTCATGGTGCTTAGTTGTTGCAGAACCTCAACTCCTGGTCTAGAGTAACTTGGGTTTCCACCCCACCTGGTGACATGCCCTAGATTCATTCACCTCTATTCTGCCAACCCAGTCTGTTGTTAAAGAGTCTCATCTGTCATTTGCAGGAGTAATTGTAAAAATTGATTCATGGGAAATGCCTGTAACAGGCAGATCCTTTTGACAGACCACACAGCCATCATATTCTGCATTTATTTGAGTCAATCAATGCTCTGATGCATATTTGGGTCATAAATACTTTGATATAAATTGCATTTGTTATCATGACAGCTGTGTTCCATTACATATTATTTATTAGGTTCTGTTGTCCTTTCGTTTTACACCTTGTGGAGCTGTCAAGTCAGCTGCTTACCAGTGACAAAACTCACAGCTCAGTTCAGAATCTTCCAAAAATAAATTCTCCGAAGGGATTTGAGTAACAGCAGGATGTATGTTGTTGGAAAGGCATTGGACGATCTTTTTTTTTGGTTTGTTTTACTGGAAAGAGGAGGTTTGTGCTTTTTGCCTGCTTTTGCCCAAATTCCAGAATTAGACTTTGCGTTTATGATCCAGAAGTCATTGAAGCCAATAATCCCACTGATTAATGTGAATTTTGGATCACACCCTCCATGTCTCAAATTTGAATTAATCAGGTTATTTGATATTTGAAATGGTGGGATGCTGACTTGGATATTTCTAATTTTCCCTTAGAAGCTTTTTTAGCTTCATGTCTTTTTACATCGTAAAAATGGCAGAATATCTGATTCTGAGATGAACGAATTTCAGTGTCCTTCCAAGGGCAGGGTCAAATTGCAAGGGGCACACTGCTCTGTATGAGTCAGAGTGATTTTGTGCTTCTCATTCCCAATAAACAGTCACATATCCTTCATGCCAGGTTGCTGCACCAGCTTTGCAAGGTGCCGAGCACTTCGGTGTTAATTCAGGAAAGCACTTCATCATGGAATTGATGACTCTCAAGTGCTTAATATAAGCATGTGCTTAAGTGCCTTGTTGGACTGGGGCCAGTGCAGATGTACCCTTGCAGAGTAGAGATTTGTAAGCCACTCCTGGTCTACTAGAGCCAAGTTCACTGGAGAATCAAGGGGTTCAGGGGTGTGCAGCTCGGGGAGCCGGGCTGTGCTGCAGGGGTGGGTGAGCATGACAAAATGCCCCTGCCTGGGAAAGACAGCATTTACCCAGGCAGTCCCTGTCCTGTGACTAAGCAGGGAACCAGCGTCAGCAGAACGGTGGGGCTCTTGGGCTGTATGCGTGATAGAATGTTGCATGTGCTTCTCTTCATGTCTTAAAATTTCTGTGTTATCTCTGTTTATTTTACTCTAAATATAAAAAGAGTAAATCTGTAATTCCTATCAAATATCACAGTGCAAAATTGACATACACACAATCGTATGGCTCACAAAATATAGCTGCAAATGGCTATGTATTATTTATAAAGCAGCTTTGACATCTTAATATATTAAAAAGGAAGAGACATTTAGATCATTTCATAGTTCAGCATTCTGCACGTTTTTGAGTTATCATATATCATCATCCATGAAAAATTCATGATTTGGGTCTTAACCACTTTAATTTTATGCATGCACTCCAAACAAAGGGGTGTGTATCCTCTGCTCTTGCCTTTTTTTTTCCCTAGTCTATCCCCCCCACCCCATTTTATACAATTAAAAGTAGACAACTGGGGTTAGAAAATGCCAAAAGCCCACCCTGCCTTCCAAGAACTACCCAATAATTAATGAGTCATAACTCTGTGGCTAAAGAGGGATCTCCAGGTATTCCAGTGTCCCACCCAAATCCTTCTGGGTTTGCTGAACCCAAGACAGTGAAAGTCAAAAAGTTCATACTGCTCGGCAGTAAAATCGATGTAGTTGCTCTCATCCAAGTCTCTAATGTGGACAGAAAAAAGCCAGGTATAAATCAGCTTAAAACCTGGCAATTTCTGCCAAGTTCCAAATTAATCATGAATATGGTGTGAGTGCCTCATTTCAGGTGTTCTCAGTGGTGTCACTGGCCAGATTGTTTTGAGCTAAGCTGGAGGAGTGAACTCTGAAGTCGAGGAGATTTTGCAGAGGTTATTCTAGCAAGAGCCTCATTCCTACATGACAGAAGGTCTTGGGTTAATGCTTCGGGTTTTTCTGGGGGGGAGAAAGGAGAAAGGTGAACTCGTAGCCTTTCAGATGAGGACATTCCTGGTCTGCTAGGGCTTTGTAGGTTAAAACTCTTTCTTTTAATGAAACTGCTGCTCAGTGATGGGTTTAAGTACAAGTTCAGTGCTGGTGAAAGGACCTAATGAGGAAGTGGTAGCTTTCTGTCTAACTACAGGGCTGGTGCTGGTAGGATGATGGTAGTGTTAACTGTTTTTCCTCACTGTTTCATGGTTGCCTTAAAATACTGCTAGGAAGGATGGAAGAACTTCAGGTTCTGTGGCCTATTTCTCTCTGGTCTCTGCTGCAAGATCCAACAAGGAGCCTTTGGCTTGCTTTCTCTTTGCTTGAAACTCCTTCCAACCTCCACTTCACCTTCTCAGTGACATCTAGGCAGAAGCTCTTAATTTATTGTGTCCTGGTTTTGCCCATCCCTGGACGCTGAGCTCGCAGTGGGCTGTGAGGGGCTGGTGCTTTCAAATGCAGTACGAGTTCACTGGTCTGAAGTTTCTCCGGGAATGAAAAATCTGTTTGATTAAGGAAACACTGACTTCTGAAAGACTGCGCAACTTTGTAAGTCAGGGCTGCAGAATGTCTAATTAAATGGAACTGCACTCTAGAGGATTTGGCTTGCAGAAAATTAGTTTTCATGTTCTTGGCCTGATGTTTATTAAATGTTTCTTTCCTTTTTCTCTCCTTTGCAGTTTTCATCTGTAGTTTCATGGTTGCAGCGCCTATCTTTGGTTACCTTGGTGACCGTTTCAACAGAAAGATCATTCTCAGCTGTGGGATCTTCTTTTGGTCAGCTGTCACTTTTTCAAGCTCCTTCATCACTGAACAGGTAAGATCTTTGCAAAGGCACTTTGCAGGTTGTCCTGAAAAGATGGATAATACGTTCCTAAAAAACTCCCCACTCCCCATCACAGTGTGCAGGGGAATGTATCCCTCTGGTGTGTATTTGACATAGAGCATGTTGCATTTTCTGACCTTTTGTGGGTGAAATGTTATCTGTGTGACTGTGTTTTCTTAACTGTGAAAGCTGTTATTCTTCGATCATCCACGTTCATAAAAAAATAACAGGTGAAGCATATCTAAGCAAGAGTTTCAGTTCACGTAAGGGTTTTGTTTTGAGGGACATCCTAAAGAAACTTTAAAATGCTTTAAAAATGACTTGGAAAAAAAATCCATGGCTGTATAGTGGTTCTCTTGTCTTCTGATATGTAAGAGAAGCCATTGGAGTTCGTTGGGAAATCTGCTCATGGTATGTGGAATGACAAAATGCATCCAGCAATGGCTTTATGTATGCGCTTTGTTTCCTGTCCAACAAAGGCAGTGAAGGTGGATGATAGCATAGAGATTAGACATCGTTTCAGCTCTTTTAATGCTAGTTGATGGATATGTCTGGGGAACTGATGATGGAGTTGTCAGGCTCACTTAATTTTGTCAAGCTATGCACAGCATCCCTCACCTGCTTTCAGGACAGCCACAGTAGCCCATTTTGAGGACTCCTCATTGCATTAATTTTCTTGCCTGTCAGAGGTACTTGTAGGAAACAATGATCTGGCAGTTTCTGGGGGAAAATATCCTCTTGTTTAAATCATATTATAGAGGAGGTTTAATTGCTGCAGGTGGTAACATTCCTGGAGAGACAAATCACAGCTCCTGGCATCATCGGACTGATTTCCCCAAGGGAGGCAGGGGCATTCCTCATCCTTTCTGTCCAGCTGCGTTCCAGAGATTGCAGCATTGTGGTCATGCCTAAAGAATGACAACCAGGGACTAAACCTCTCTGCCCTGCTCCCTCCTGCCCACACACATGCTTTGCAGTTTCTAATAAAAGAGAATTTCCACCTAAAGTGGGCAGTGGCAGTCACATGTCTGTCTGGCTTTCGTGTTGGATTGATTGATGCTGCATTTCTAAAAAAAAATGCATATGGCCAAATGTAGAAGCCTTTAACTCAGTAAAGTGTTCTGGTTTATAATTGGCCAGGAAACATCCTTTCCAGAGAAAGAACATCTCCTATCTAAAATGAAGAGGGTGTTTTGGTTTTCTTTTTGGTTTTTTTTAAACTTATCTTCATAACATTCTGCAAAAGCAGCTGAGATCAGAGCCCAAAGAGGGAAGCATTATATGAAGGAACCAATTACCTGCTTATAAACGCTTCTCATGTTATGAACACACATTCATGCTCAGGTTCTCATTGCTCTTTCTGCAATGGACCTAGTCCTGTAGTTGCAAGTAGTGGAACACTGGAACTGGACTGATGTAATCTGTTTTCAGAGTTTGTTTTCAGTTGAAGGATTTTGGGCTTATTAGCTGAAGTACTTCAGGGATTAATATATATGGTCATCACTATACAGGAGCTGAGAGAGGCATATTTTTAGCCAAAGAAAGAGAGAATAATGTTTATAAAGCTGGACTATGTTTGGAATCCAAACCCCAATGTTTTGGAAGTCACAAGAGATACAAGATCAAAATGGCCAGACCTGCGTTAATTCCTCCTTGATTTGCATCAGTACTAACTCTGGTCCCAAACTACAACCTTGGAGAAAAACCACCCCAATACTGAGAAAAATCCCCTGTCCTGATTTTACTGTGATCCTCAACTCTACTGGCAAACTTCTCTATTAAGCTAGAGCTCTCATGCCCAGCTCTTGTTATTGACTCCAGGAGATTATGGAAAATTTTGCAGCTGCTGTATGGATGTGCTCAACACGGTGGCTACAGCAGTTGAGTAAGGTCGTAAGAATAATCCAACTTCACATAGTATCCCTACGACTTTGGTGTCCTTTCTGGAGGCCTGATGTTTAATTGGGAAGACATGCCACATTGAACAAGGTGAATTCCCGAAGTACTAATGAGAAAAAGGGTCAGAGAAGAGCTGATGCAGCTTTTTTTCTTTATGCAGTGACTAACTAGGCATTTTTCCTGATCTTTGTCTTCTAGGATTTATCTGAGGAGCAAAACACTGGCTCTTCTCTCAACGTTTTTCCTTTCTTTCTTTTAAGACAGTATATGTGTTTGTCAGGGAGGGAGGCTAGAGCTGAAATATGAAAAACTCTTTGCTGGCACAAATAAAAGCAGTAGTAAGACTACTGTAAGTAGATAAGTACTCACATCCAAGTCAACATGAAAACACAGGGCTAGAAGGAGCAAGCTGGCACAGGCTGAGCCCATTGAAATACTGTACAGAAAACTCCTTTATGTGGCGACAGCAAAAATACTGAACTGGGCGAGAAACAATAGCCATTCAGTAGAAATAGCAAACTGTGTCTTCAGGGATTGCCTTTCTTCAAATTTTGACAGTATCTAGTGCCTTGTGCATGCTATCGCTGGGTAATTAAATAGAGTACACATCCGCAGAGCTCAAATTTGGAGTGTAAAACGGAAAGAGACAGTTTAACAAAGGCAGAAAGCAGCTACAGAGCTGGTGGACTCTGAAGGCACCCAATTTGTAAAGGTTTTTGGCAGTGTGTTGTTAGTATTAGTTCCTGGCTAAAATTTGGACACTTAAAGGAAAACAATCAAAATGCTATCATTTGAGTGAATATCTAAATTATTTGTAATTTATTGTCCAAACAAGCATACAGAAAAGGACATGTTCATTCTTATCTGTCAAGTTATTCAATAAAGAAACACCCATGTGACAAGAAAAGGACATGGAGTGAGAAACTACCTCAGAGAGATGGATTTTGTTCTGGAAAAAAGAATTGGAGCACAATGAAATAGTTCAGCTAAGATACTAAATGCTATTTCATGTTGTTTGGGTTAAAAAGACAATGACTGAATATTGGCAGATAAAACAGGGAATTGGATACATATGCTATGCAGACGCGTCGTTGTTAGAGAGCACTGCATTAAGGTTTGTAACCATTTATTAAAATACCCGTAGCTGTTTATTACCAAATATCTTTGGGCTTTTAACATAGAATAATGACCATCAAATAAATGAAGAATGAATCTCTCATCTGCTAGTAGCTACTAAATAACTGAATAATAGGCTCACACAGGAAAAAAAGAAAATCAGACCAAAATTTAAGGATAATTCCAGAGTATATAGGAAGTGATAGCTACAGAAAACAACAACGCATGAATTCCATGCATAGCAAAATAGCAAGACAAACAGATATGTAAATGTTTGGTTACCGTTCATGAGGTCTTAAATTACATTTAAAACAAATCAAAATAAGAAACCCAAATAAATACATAACAGAGACTAATTCCATAAATACACCTGGTTTCATGGATAAAAATAGCTAATGATATATTTAACTAAAGAAAAGAATCAGAAGTAATGAGGCTGGGATAATATTGAAAACGTCGCTTTTTATTCTGTCAAATAATGTGATTTGACAATTTATATTAGTGTAAAATTTCCCTATAGAAAAAGAAGCAATGAGTCCTCCTGCACTTTGTCTCTGGTACTTGCACATCTCTGCTCTATAACACCGTTCAGCACTTTCTAAAATAAAAGTTGCATAAAAAAATCAAACTTGTTCATTAATCTAAAATTAGTTTAAGTTGGTACATATTCAGACATCTCTCTAGATTAGCTCCATTTATAGAAACTTCAATAAAGTATGTATACATCTTAATTTGTATTTTGTAAGTACAAACACCTGCTGAGAAATTACCTCCCTTTATGCATGCCTTTTAAACAGTTCTGCACCTGCGGGTACACAAATTTTGGTACTTTCACCTGCAAAACCCTTTCTTGTGTTGTTTTGGCTTTTGGCAAGCATTTGGAGAAAACACTTTCTGGTTGTTGATTCATGCTCCATAATAAATCCGCAAAAAATAAGTGAGCTGCTGTGCAGTATAGGGTCATATCACAGAGAAATGCACTGAGAACACAAACTTCATGGAGTTTCTTTACCAAGATGCGTTTCCATCCACACAAAAAGCTAAATATGTATCTGTCTTCCTCCGTATCAATATAAACTCTGATTTAATAAGTAATCAGTTTTTTCTCTAGATAGCATTTTGATGAGCACAGTGCCTGATTGCCTGTGTTGTGGCTGATCAGGTTGAGCTGGTTTATATTCCAGGATGTCATTGGAAAGAGTCTGTAGTCCCAATTGCACCATTTCTCTCTTTCTGAACAGTTTCACGTGAAGCAACTTGGTTATCAGGAGTGATCAGGCCATGTGCTGAGAGTTTGTTTCTGGCTGCTTGGATATCCACATCTATTAGCCATAGTAATAGTTCTTACAGCTGACTACTTTGGCCAGAAATTTGTTGTAGATGAAACCTTGCTTTTGGTGCTAACCTTCCTACCCCTCTTAGCACAAACTTCTGAGAATCAGGACCCCTCTCCCTTGTGGGCAGACACCAGTTTCTTAAAGCAAGAAAGAGCTTGGAGGTGGAAAGTTGCAGACTGTTCTCCAGTCTTGTGAAATACTGCTATTTCCCATGTAAATATCTTGAATAAAGCATATTCTGTGTAAAAGGGATGCTGTTTTACAGATGAGCAAAGTATTCTGCTAAGTAGTTTGGCTCCACTAGGCTGGGAGACCAAGAGTACCTAATAATCAACCAGACCAGGCTGTGGTAATGTGGGTTTGCTGGGAGACATCAGAGCTGCAGATGGTAGAAAGTTTGGAAACGGAAAAGCAAAGAATAAACAAGGTAAACCAGGAACATGCTTTTGAATCCTCCAGTTCTTGGTAAATATTTCTGTTTAAATGTTGATATAGCTAACATGATAAAACCTTTTTGCTCTCACTGCAAGTTAATCTGGATAGGTATTTCTGCTAGTGGTTTTTTTCTTTTCCTCTCCTTTTGATTTATCTCTGAAAGAGAAAGCAAATAGTCCACTGTGGAATTCCAGTTAGCCTGCA